GCAATCAGAATATCCCAGCTCACCCTTCGAGTGGGCTGGTCCTGCTCCAGGCCAGAGATGGCTCGGCTGATCAGTCCTTCAACAGTGGTCAAAGCTGGGAAGAAGAACAAAGGACAGGGGAGTCTGGGCTCAAGTGCCTGTGTGACCCCGGGCAATTCATGTGACCTCCTTGGGCCTTGAATTCATCTGTAAAATGAGGCTAGCCACAAAGTTCCATTCAGCTCTAACAACAGTGATGACAAAACCCTGTAAGTAAACACCAGCTCAAACTGCTTTAGCTAAGTGTTCTGCTGACGGTCAGTCAATGAAGACCCCAACCATTACCAAACCCACACACAGCCACTAGACCTGGCCGGGGTTTTACAAGAAAGTGAGTAAGGGTCCAGCTACGCATAAGCAGCCCAAATACCTGACCTTGAACTTACCTCCCTTCTGGCTGAAGGCAGGAATTTCAAAATCTAACTCTGGAATCCTTGTGGTGGCCGAGTCTGTCTTCACCACTTCCCGGTTCATGTCCTGGTCAGAGAAGCAGGTGCAGGCCAGAGAGGTCAGAGGTCAGCAGTGCCCCCCGAGGGAAGGCCAGGCTGCCCTCCATCAGACCCCGGCTGCCCACGTGGGGCGAGTCCCCCGCCTAAGTCCTGCTCACGTGGCGCCTTCTCAACAATGTACAAAGCCCTTGCACACGCCCCACCTGGTCGGCCTCCCACCTGGTCAGCCTCGGCCCCGGCCCCCCTTTGTTTGTAAGGGGACAGGGAGGCGTGGACACGCAGGGGATTCACGCCGCCCGCCCCGCGCCGCGCCAGGCTCTCACCTCGGCCGCCCGGACCGTCAGCGTGTAGCGCACGCCCTGGTCCTGGATCCTGCCCGCCGACTGCACCTCCGTGTTGTTCCAGCCGCAGTGCTCGCAGGAGAAGGAGCTGACGATCACCTCTCTGAAGAAGGGGATCGTGGTGAGCAGCAGGCGCGTCACGCCCTGGGGAAGCAGAAAGCCAAGGAGAGAACCGGTGAACCCAGCTGCCCACCTGGCGACCCCGAGGGGCCTCACTCCGGGTGCCCCGCGGCCCTCCCGCCCGCGCGCCTCACGTCGCGGTAGCAGTTCATGCACAGCGACTCGATCTCCGTGGGCTGCTGGCCCTCGTCCTCGGCGCTGAAGGGCCGGAACACGCGCGCCGGGGCCGGGGCGGGCGAGGGCGCGGCCGCAGCCCCCGGGGGCCCCGGCTCCACCGTCCCGCCGGCCGACATCGCACCACGCGCAGCGCCGCCCGCGGCTTCCGGCTCCTGGCCTCCCGTGGCCCCGCCCCTTCCGGCGGCACTTCCCTCCGCGGCCGCCCCGCCCTTTCGTAGGGAGGTGGCCCACTCTGGGCCCCACCCCCCTTTTTTTTTAGATTTTTCAATTGATTTTTTTTTTTTAGTTTCTATCCAAATCCAGTAATTATTTTTTAATCCACTAATTATGAACACTTTTAACACATTTGTCACTACACACACACAATTATTATTTTAAGAGTAAGTTGCGCCCTAGCTGGTTTGGCTCACTGCATAGAGGGTTGGCCTGCGGACAGGGTCCCGGTTCTATTCTGGCCAAGGGCATATGCCTGGGTTCTGGGCTCGATCCCCAGTAGGGGGCGTGCAGGAGGCAGCCAATCAATGATTCTTTCTCATCATTGATGTTTCTATCTCTCTCTCCCTCTCCCTTCCTCTCTAAAATCAATAAAAAAATTTTTTTTAAAGAGTAAGTTGCAGTACTAGCTGGTTTGACTCAGTGGATACCAGCATCGGTCTGCGGACTTAGGGTCCTGGTTCGATTCCAGTCAAGGGCAAATGCTCGGGTTGTGGGCTCAATCCCCAATGTGGGGCCTGCAGAAGGCAGCTGATCCATGATTCTATCTCATCATTGACGTTTCTCTCTCTCTCTCCCTCTCTAGAATCAATAAAAATATATTTTTAAAAAACAGTAAGGTGCAGACAATAATATCTATACCTTTGAATACTTCAGAATATATCCCCAACACACATGCTGGGAGGAGAAGAATCTTTTCTTACATATCCAAACTATGATTACCAAATACAGGATATTTAACATTGATACAGTACTATTATCTAATACTAGAGGCCTGGTGCATGAAAATCATGCACTGGGGGGTTAGGGGGGTTGTCCCTCAGCCCAGCCTGCACCCTCTCCAATCTAGGATCCCTTGGGGATGTACAATTGCCAGTTTAGGCCCAGTCAGACATCCCTCTCACAATCCAGGACTGCTGGCTCCCAACAGCTCGCCTGCCTGCCTGCCTGATTTCCCCTAACCACTTCTGCCTGCCTGCCTGATCACCCCCTAACCACTCCCCTGCCAGCCCGATAAATGCCTAACTGCTCCCCTGCCAGCCCGATTGCCCCCAACTGCCCTCCCCTGCAGGCCATCTTGTGATGACATGGGGGTGGCCATCTTGTGATCACATGGGGCGGCCATCTTGTGTGAGGGTGTGAGGGTCAATTTGCATATTACTGCTTTATTATATAGGACTAGAGGCCCAGTGCACGAATTTGCACACAGGTCCAGTCCTTCTGCCTGGCTAGAGATCGGGGCCAATTGGGGCCTATCGGGGAAGGCTGGCAGGGGGAGGGACCACGGGAAGTTGGCTATGGGAGTGCACTGACCACCAGGGGGCAGCTCCTGCATTGATCGTCTGCCCCCTGGTGGTCAGTGCACGTCATAGCTACCGGCCAGTCATCTGGTCATCTGATCATAAGGGTCGCTTAGGCTTTTATATATATAGATACAGTCTGTATTCAAATTCCACATCTTGTCCCTCTGATGTTCTCCATGGCAACTCTTTCTCCAATCCAGGATCTGATTCAGGACCAGGCATTGCCCCTAGTTTTCAGGTCTCTGGTTTCCTTCAACCTGGAAGTCCCTCAGTCTGTCTTTGTGTCTTATGCCATTGGCATTTTTGAAGAGTACAGGTAATTTTGGTTTATCTGATGTTTTTGTTTTTTGTTTTTGTTTTTTAGTTTTTTATTATTTATTTATTTATTTTAAATAATTCTTTATTGTTGAAAAGTATTACATATGTCACCTTTTCCCCCCCTTTAACCTCCTACAGCCAACCGCCGCCCCAACCTCACCCCAGGCCTTCACAAGGAGAGGGAAGAGAAACATCAATGTGAGGATGTGAGAGTGAACACTGATGGGCTGCCTCCTGCACACCCACCAGGGATCCAGCCAGCAAAGGCAGCCTTTCAGTTCACCGGCCTACGCCCAAGCAGCGGAGCCACCGTGACCAGGCAACTCTGGGCCCTTAGGGAGCAGTACGGGGCTTCCCTGTTGCCAGGATTATATGATCCAAACTTCCATAGCCGGATTCAGGCTTTGCCTCTACCTCAGTTCAGGTGTCACTTCACCAGGACGTCCTCCCAGAGCCAGGGCAGGGCTTTGCTCCTTCACAGTGTCTCCATCACACAGGGTTCTAACTATTGGCCATAGTGTTTGACCACAAGAACCAGCCTCTTGCCGACATCCTGGGCTTCCTTCGATCCACTGTTGGACCAGGTGATGCTGCGGCTCTAGTCCCTCCATCCCTCTCTCCCTTTCTGTTTTTCTCACTCCCTAATTTTGTCCTCATAAACACCTGCCCAAATTCCAGCCTCAAATACACAACCCTCAGTTTTACTTCCAACCCCTTCATCCCTACCACATCTGCTCCCTCTGACTACCCTTCCCAGTTTCCTAATAACAAAAACACCTTTTATTTGGAGGGAGCAGGGTAAGCTTTCCTTTCCAGCACCTCCTCTCCCTGGGTACCGCTCTCAGCTCTGTTGCTAAATCCAGATGTCTGGGTAGAGATCTAGGCTGCGGCATGATGCAGCCAGCTTCATGTGGGGTCTGTGTTAGGAGGAGTGTGGAGGTACAGGGCCAACTGAGCTGGACTGAAAGGGCGCTGGAAGGGGTGTGCTTACCCTGCCCACTACCCCCCACTTCACCTACCCCTAGCTTCAGGGTTCTCAGAGGACCTATGAGGAGCTTCATTGCCTCCAAGTGAATCTATATGTGGGGACTGGGGGGTTTAAGAGTTTGGGGTTCCCAAGAAGAGGGCCAGTGTCATAAAAAGGGGCCATTCAAAATCTGGAACAGCACGAACAAAAGGGAGAGGCCACCTCAGGAGCCTGCAGGTGAGGCACACTGTCCTGTGCCAAGCCGGCCCACGAACGATGCAGGTGCAGAGGAAGGTCGCTGGCCCACGCCCACCCCCAGGCCAACACAGCTCTCCCCGAAAGCGGAGCACAGCCAGGCCCAGGCCCCTCTGGCAGACTCGCACTGAAAGGGGGTCCCTGAGAAAGTACAGCAGGGGCCTGGAGTGGCCAATGGGTGTGATTTGGGGATAGTGGTGAGGGCACTGCTTTCAGACATGGTCCGAATGAGAGTCACACCAGGCAGACCAGTTTCCATTATAAACATCTATTTCAATGGAGTCAGAAGTCTAGGCTTCAGTCTGAGCGTCAGAGATGGGGAGGACACCTCGTAGACTCCCTAGCGGGTTTAGGAAGCCCCCACAGTTTGGAGGCGTGGGCGGCTGTTTAAAAGCAGAGCTATGTAAGAAAATATGGGCCCTGCTCCCTCCCATTACAACTCCCACCATTTGTACCCACCAGCATCAGAGCGCGCAGGGATACACACACACACACACACACACACACACACACACACACACACACACAGTCACATGCTCTCTCATCACATCCTCCTCCTTTCTCCCTTCTCTCCCCCAACAGAAGCTGTCCTGGCAGCCCTGGGGAGAGGAGCTGCCCTCGGGACAGCAGCAGTAGTGGCCACCAGGGGGCCAGAGTGGTCGCAGCCAAGCCCGGGCCTGAAGAGACAGGCTTCCAGCACCATGGCCACGGGCTGGCACTTAATTTCCCCGCATAGAGCGCCTGTCTCCCTTCCCACTCCCGCCAGCAGCGAATGGGGCAACTCGGGAGGACTCCCAAATGAGCACGGGAAGCCAGGTTCGCAAATCCTGGTGAGTGTAATGCATCCGGATTGGGGACTCGCAGGAGGCTGGGTAGGCAAGGGACAACTGCCCCTTTGGTGGCCTCACCCATCCTGCAGGGCCCTCCACCCTCTGCCCAGTAGGCCACTGTCGAGGACTGAACCATGCTTGGGGCTCCCCGAACAAGGAGCTGGGAAGTGGGCGCGGACAAAGGCCCTCAGGGCTCCCCTCCATGGCCCAGATCATGGTCGCGAAGGCTGTAGTTTATGTCTTCCCACAGGTCGTCCAGACGGGCCTGCAGCCTGCTCCGGGCCTTGCCGCTGTCCGCGGGGAGGAACTCCAGGGCGAAGGCGCTGTGGCTCGGTGGGGGCGGCGCCAGCTGCTGCTGGACCTCCTCCGTCTCCTGGTCGATGGCGCGGGTGAAGGCGGCGATCTGCAGGAAAGTGTCGTGGCGGAAAGCCTGCAGGCGCTGGCGCACCTCCTGGGACAGCGCCTGGGGGTCCGGGTGCGCCCCTTCCCCGCCCGTTCGGGCATAGGCACTGAGCTCTTCGCGCAAGTGGTCCAGGTTCTGTTGGATGCCCGCGTGCAGGGCCTTGGCCTTGAGCGTGAGCTTGTGCGAGAGCAGCTGCACGCAGCGGTTGAGGCGCGCGGGGCTGGCCACGGTGTGCGGGGCCACGCTGCGGTGTAGCTCCTGCACGTGCTGCCCGATGCCGCTCACCAGGCGCTCGGCGTACGGGTGGAACAGCTGCTTGACGCGGCCGGTGTGGTGCACCAGGCTGCTCTGCAGCTCCTGCAGCAGGTCCCGCGCCTCCGCCACGCCGCCCAGCAGCTGGGCCTTGGTGTCCTCGCCGACCACGCGCAGCTGCTCCTGCAGCTCCTGCACGCGCAGGGCCACCTGCTCCATCAGGGCGCTGGTGTAGGGCTCCAAGCGCCGCCGCAGCCCCTCCAGGCTCCAGCCCACGCGCGCGTGCGCCTCCGCCATGTAGGGCTCCAGGCGCGCGCTCACCTCCTCCAGCTCCTCCTGCAGCTGCCGCCTCAGGCCCTCAGGGTCGGGTGGGAGCCCGGGAGGGGCGCTCCCCTGCCCACTCAGAGGGCCCAGCTTCTCCAGGAGCTTGTCCATGTTGTGGAGGTCTTGCTCAAGGCTGCCTTTCAGGCTCCTGGGGGAAGAGGTCAGACGTCACCTCTGCTTTGCCCCAGAGGCGTCGCTCACTGATCTAATGGGGAAACCAAGGGCGCTATCCCAGCCTCGGGCCGCCCCTCCGCACACAGGCACTGCCCTTGCAGATCCAGACCCGCAGACCCGCAGACCCGCAGACCCGCACCGCCCGAGGGGGCACAGAGGCTCTGGGGACGCAGTGGGGTCCTCTCCCCTCCAGCTCCCACGCCCGCAGCGGGCGAGGGGGCAACAGCTATAACCAGGTCAGAGCGGGGTGGGGGCCGCCGGACAGGGCGCACACAGCCAGGAAGGCCAGGATTGGGAGTGGGGGTTGGGGGAGCTGGCAGCTTTCTTCCTCTGCTCCGCAGCCGGAGCAGACCGCGGGCTGAGGAATCAGAGGCAGCCATCATCCCACGGCCTGTCTCCGCCCTTCCCCGCGCCCCTTGCCCGGGCACTCACGCGGACTCCCGGGCCAGCTTCTGCTGCTGGGTCTGCTCCACCCTGCCCTTGTCCCAGCTGCTCTGACCGGAGTCCACCCTGAGGCCTTTCCGCGCCTCCGCGGCGGTGGGAAACGCTGTGGAAAGGCAGGGGTGAGTGCGGGCCTCCGGCCAGCCTCCACCTCACCTTCTCACCCCTGCCAGGGGGGAGACCCACCTGAGAGGAGCGCCAGCGCCCAGGCCAGGGCTGCAGTCATGCGGGCCATCGCCTGTCCTGGGAAGGAAGGCCGGGGAGGCCTGGTTAAGGTGAGGAAGCAAAGACAGGGACATCTCCCAGGTGTCAGTCCCAGGGTCAGCCTGCCCCAAGTCTGTGAACACTTCCCTGGGGCGTAGGGAGCTCAGAGCCCTGAGGACTGACTGTAGGGGCTCCTGGTGACAGGATGGAGGCAGGTGAGTGTGGCTGGGAAGAGAAGGGTGTCTTTCCCAGGGGAGGGAAAGAGCTCAAGGAGGTGGAGCTCGAACTGTTTTGTAAAGGCTCCCCCTCCTCCTCCCCAGCCAGGTCCAGGAGAGCTTCCCAGGGGAGGGCTGCTGGGCCCTCACCCCCCTCTTCCTGCCCCCATGGGTGGCTGGGAGCAGAGGCATGCCCAGGGCAAGAAGCAGCTCTGCCACGTGGTGCTCCACGTGGGTCTGGCCCCTCCTCCCCCCCAGCTCTGCTGAGACCCTGCAGTCCTCCAGGGGACACTGTCCCCCTTGCCCTCCGCCCTCTGCCCCAGCAGCTCACCTGCTCAGTTCTGGGCACAGAGAGCAGACATTCGGCTTTATAGTCCTGGGCCTGGGCCTCTGGCAGCAATTCCTTTGAGTAAATATCACGTGGAAGTTCAAAGAAAGATGACCTCAGTGGCCTCCCAGTGCTCACCTCCTGCCCTTTCCTGGCACCCTCAGGGTTAATGAGTGCCCCCATCTCAGGGGCTGTCCCAGTGGACTAGGGCTTCTTGGAAAGTTTACAAGGAGTGGCCCAACTCCTCACCCAGTTCACTCCAAACCCTTTAACCTCCAACCTGCCCACTCACAACTGGCTGGCCCAGCGATAGATACAAGCCTGTTTGTCTGCTGGAGCCCACTCTTACTCAACTGCCCGGAGGCACTGTGCCCAGCCAGCCAGGGGCAGTGGCCAGCTGCCCGCCTGACCCTAGCAGCCTTGGCAGCTCCCCTACAGGCTCCTGGGCAGATGGGAGAGTCAGCATTCACAGGGCAAAGACCCTCGCACCTCCCCTTCATGAAATAATCCTGGAACAAGCAGGAAGTCAAGGGGGAGAAGAGGAGGTGGTGAGAGGCAGAACCTGGACCAGGGACTCTGGGCCCAAAGAATTGGGGCAAGAGTAGGCTTCTCCTTCGGGGGAGAGGCTGGCCTTCACCCACAGGCCTCTGAGGAGGGGAGCCAGAAAGCCCAGGCCTTCTCTGATGACTTGTCCACTCCGTATACTTACACCCACACTTATAAACTCCTGAGTTTTGCCTTAGCTGGTTTGGCTCAATGGATAGAGCGTCAGCCTGCAGACTGAAGGGTCCCAGGTTCGATTCCTATCAAGGGCACATGCCTGGGTTGCGGGCTCAATCCCCAGTAGGGGGCGTGTAGGAGGCAGCCAGTCAATGATTCTCTCTCATCATTGATGTTTCAATCTCTCCCTCTCCCTTCCTCTCTGAAATCAATAAAATATATTTTTAAAAAATAGTAAATAAACTCCTGAGTTTTGCTCCTGTGTCTTGAATGGATCCCCTCTCCCTATTTCCACCACCAATCGCATCACACTCCCCTTGTCTCTCACCTTAATCACACTCAGCCTCCAGCGGCTCTGTCTGCCGCAGTCCTGCCTGATCGGTCCATCCTCTGCTGTGGCTCATCCAACCCACTTCCATGTCACCTCCTGCCACACAAAGCCCCTGGCATTTCCTGAACACACCACCTTTTTCAGAACTCCAAGCCTTTGTAGATGCTGTTCCTCTGTGAAATATTCTATTCCTTGATGAACTTATATTCTTTTCTTTCTTTTTTTCCATATTTAGTTTGTATTACATAGGATCAGGCTCAGGTACAATGACAAAAGGAGGTGGGGGTGAGAGGGAGAGAAGAGCCTAAACAAAATGGAATTTTATTTCTGATGGAAACAGCCCAACCAGGGCTCCTTTTGTCTTGTTGCACTATTGTCCCTCCTCCACAGCAGCTCTGCTGAGACCCTGCAGAAGCTCATGTCTGAGGTTCAGCTGCTGCAGTTTCAGCCATCAGGTCCACCTCCTAGCCAGCAGGAAGAAGGAAAAGAAGGGCCTGTTCACTCCCTTTAAAGGCACATCACAGAAATTTTTCTTAACACTGTACTGACATCCCATTGGCCAGAACGTAGTCATATGGCTACACATAGCTGGAAAGGAGGCTGGAAAATGTAGTCTTTATGCCGATGACTATATTCCCAGCTTGAAAAAGCTGTCTTTCTCAGGAAGAAGAGAAGAATGGATGGGGGGGGGTGGGGAGTAGAAACAATAGGAGGCTGTGCTGCGCAGCTCCAATATCACTCTGAATGCCCTCCACAGCTTTCACCCTTCTCTGCTCGGGACACAGACTGAAGCCATATTAATCACAGTCTTCTTTACAAGTAGGTTGGGGACACATGGCTATGATAATTACGTGAGCTTCTCATTTGTGGCCACTTACAGGTGACCTTTTGAGGATCACTCCAAGTACAAACTGAGCTATCACTCCTCCAGCACTTCCAACAGTTTTATAAACCTTTAATTTTCTACATTAAAGCCTTTCAGTCTGGCTGGTGTGGCTCAGTGGTTGAGCATCAACCTATGAACCAGGAGGTCATGGTTCGATTCCCAGTCAGGGCACAAGCACAGGTTGCAGACTTGTTCCCTCTGACTGTTCTGTTACTACCAATTTGTACTTCTTAATCCCTTCACCTTTTCACTCCTGCCCCCAAACTCCCCTCTTATTGAAATGTTCTCTGTATCTGAGTCTGTTTCTGTTCTGCTTGTTCATTTATTTTGTGTGTTTTTTAGATTCAATTGTTGATAGATACATATTTATTGCCATTTTATTGTTCATATTTTGATAAGTTGCCTCCTCCTCCTCTTTCTCCTTCTTCAAGAAGACCCTTCAACATTTCATGTGATATTGGTTTGGTGGTGATGAACTCCTTTAGCTTTTGCTTATCTGGGAAGTTCTTTATATGCCCTTCGATTCTAAACAATAGCTTTGCTGAGTAGAGTAATCTTGGTTGTAGGTCCTTACTATTCATCACTTTGAATATTTCTTACTCCTCCCTTCTGACCTGCAAAGTTTCTGCTGAGAAATCAGCTGACAGTCATATGGGTACTCCCTTGTAGGTAACTAACTTCTTTTCTCTTGCTGCTTTTAAGATTCTCTCTTTGTCTTTAACTTTTGGCATTTTAATTATAAAGGGTTTTGGTGTGGGTCTCTTTGGGTTCATCTTGTTGGGTATTCTCTGCACTTCATGGACTTCTATGTCTATTTTCTTCACAAGGTTAGGGACGTTCTCTGTCATTTTTTCAAATGGGTTTTCAGCCTGGCCAGTGTGGCTCAATGTTGAGTGTCAACTTATGAATCATGGTTAGACTTCCCCATCAGGGCACATGCCCAGGTTGAAGGCTCAAACCCCAGTATAGGGTGTTCAGGAGACAGCTGATCAATGATTCTCTCTCATCATTGATGTTTCTATCTCTCCCTCTCCCTTCCTTTCTGAAATTAATTTTATATATATATATAGTTTCCAAGTTCTTGCTCTCTCTCTTCTCCTTCTGTCACCCCCATGATGCAAATGTTGTCCCAGAGGCTCCTTACATTATCCTCATTTTTTTGGATTCTTTGAACCTGCTATTCTGATTAGCTGTTTTTTGCTTCCTTAAACTCCAAATCGCCAATTTGATTCTTGACTTTATCTACTCTACTATTTAGTTCCTGTAAATTATTCTTTACTTCAGTTAGTGTATCCTTCATTTCTGATGGTTCTTCTTTTTGGTTTTCACATCCTTTTTTATGCTGTTGAGGTTCTCACTAAGTTCATTGAGCATCCTTATAACCAGTGTGGTATTTTTAAAAATATATTTGTATTGATTTCAGAGAGGGAAAGATAGAAACAATGATGATAGAGAATCAGTGATTGGCTGCCTTCTGCATGCTCTCCTACTGTGGACCAAGCCCACAACCTGGGCATGTACCCTGACCAGGAATGGAACTGTGACCTTCTGGTTAATAGCTCAATGCTCAACCACTGTAGAGAGCCACACCAGCCAGGCATAACCAGTGTTTTGAACTTTGCATCTAGTAAATTGCTTGTCTCCACTTCGTTTAGTACTTTTTCTGAATTTTTGTTCTTTTCTTTCATTTGGAATATACTTCTTTGTCTTCTTATTTTGGCAGCCTCATGAAAGCCCATCAGTTGCAAGGACTGGCTGCGACCACTGTGGAGGATCAGTTGTACAGAGGCCCACCCCTGTACATGTTTCAGTGGGGCTCTGGTGCCTGCTGAGTTCACACCTCAAAGGTGTGGCTTGTGAAGGTGGTTGGGTGGTGCTTAGATATAGTCTGAAGCTGTCCACCAAGTGCACTCCAGGAGGTCCTCCAAGGGGGTACAGACCAAGGTCAGCCAATGCCTGTACTCTGCTCAGGGCCACTGAGGTTAGATGCTGCTTGATTGAGAGATTTTAGGAAAGTCTGAAGCAAGAGTCAAGACAGGCCATTTGTATGGAAAAGCCATTGGAAACAAGTTGGGTGGGCTCACAAATTGGTGGGGCAGGGTCTCAGGGAATCACCAGGGTGGGGGGAACAGTGTTAGCTAGGTTGATGGCGACTCAAATATGGCACCTGCCAGATGGCTGTGTGGGAGAAAGGCTCAAAAAGGAACAATGGCCTCTATCAGCACCTCGTCTGGGAGAATGCTGCCCCTTCAGTATCTCCCTGGATGTCCCTGGCGCCTTTCAAGTTGCTGCCCCAGCGCTGTAGCTCAGAGAGTGAATCCAAGTTAGTCCATGCATGGGCCCTTTAAGAGGAATGCCTGGGCTCCAGCAGCCTCCGTCTCACTCAGTCTCAATCCCCTCTGGTTTTTACAGCCAGAAGTTATGGGTACTTCTCTTCCTGGCACTGGGCTGAGGGGCCTGGTGTGGGTCTGGAACTCCTTGTTCCTCAGGGGACTTCTGCTGTGGAGAAATCCTTGCAATTTTTATCCACTAGTTAGAACCAGCCCTTCCCAAATCTCTGCTCCTCCTACCAATGTCAATGTGGCTTCTTTTTTAATTCCTTAGGTGTAGGACTTCATTCAGCTAGATTTTAGGTGGTTCTGAATAATGGTTCTGTAGTTTAGTTGTATTCTGGATGTGTTTGTGAGAGGACATGAGTACCCCATTAACCTACACTCCCATCTTGACCAGAAGC